CAGCTCCCTGACCTTCGTCCCCAGGTGGCCGCTGCGGAGACGCGAGGCCCGAGTGAGCGACGGTGAGGGGGCTGCACCCCCAACCCCCCCTGAGCCCGTGTTCTGCACCTGGACACCTGCCTGCACGCAGCTCCCTGACCTTCGTCCCCAGGTGGCCGCTGCGGAGAGCCAGGCCCGAGTGAGCGACGGTGGGGGGCTGCACCCCAACCCCCCTGAGCCCGCGTTCTGCACCTGGACACCTGCCTGCACACAGCTCCCTAACCTTCGTCCCTAGGTGGCCCCTGCCATCTGTCCCTCTTCCCCAGGCACCAATCCCTCCAACCCCAGGTGAGAGAAGGAAGGGAATAAATGGGGCCTGGGTGGCTGGGCTTGTGTCCCCACCCTGCTTTCACCTAGGAAAGATTGGTCTATATAAATGACCTGGACAGCTGAAGACAGCGCCCTTTGCCTTCACACCGTGTGGAGACTGTGCCCTCCAACACCGGGAGAGAACTGAGAAGACGGAAGTTAGTCTCTGGGGCCCCCCAGCTCCAGGACTTTTACCTGAAGTGCCATCTGTAGCCAGCAGGTGGCGTTGCTGCCACCCACTTATTCTTGGAAGACCCCCCGCCCCCCCCAGGGCACCAGCAGCCTGTTCAGGACCTTTGTCAACCTGTGATTGAGGCCTCTCAGTCCTTCTGAGCCCATTCAGTCAAGTGATTGGCTGAGACCCCACTCGGTGGGGTGAAAATGCTCACAGAGCCTATACAAGGGGCCAGGAGGAGGCTGGCAGAGAACGTGATTCCCTATAACCCATTTTAGTTCTGTGACATAACTCAGTGTCCACAGTCCTAGTGCCCCGTATCTGCACAGCTTGGGGACCAGAAGTATTTTGGTTTGGGGATGTTTTCAGATTCTGGAGTATTTGCATACACACAAAGAGACGTCCAGAGGAAACCCAATTTTAAACATAAAATTCACCCACATACACATAGCCTGAAAGCAATTCTGCAAAATATTTTTAATAATTTTGTGCACAAAACAGTTTGTGTGCCCTGAATCATCAAAAGTTAGGTTTGGAATTTTCCACTTGTGTCATGTGGGTGCTCAGAAAGTTTCAGGTGTTGGAGTATTTTGGATTTTGGATTTTTGGATCAGGGATGCTCAGGTTGACAGATAAGAGGTGGTGGGACCTCTAAGAGGTGGGGCTTAGTCCAAGGTAGTTCTCTTAGGATTCTGCTTAGATCTCTCTTGTCATAAAAGAACAAGCCTGGGCCCCCTGGGCTGTTCTGGCTTCCTGTTATATATGTGCTCTCATCATGTGATGAAGCCAAGGGGAACTCATCAGAGCTGGAATCATGCACTTTAGACTTTCAGCCTCTGAATCCGTGAGCTACACAGACCTCTTTCCTTTATAGTACCCAGCCAGCGAGAAAAAAGAGAGATTCACTCTCTGAGCCATGAACAATAAAATGTACAAGTGGCAGCTGCCTGCAGAAGGATGACCTTCAAGGGCTTCATGTCTCATGAGAAACGTCTGGGGCTCCTACCTGTGATTCGGTTTTCAATCTCCCCCTGCATCTGGAGAGAGTCCACATAAATGGTCCGGTTCCCAATAAAACGTGCACAGGCGATTCCCCGGTAAGGCTGGCAGAATCCGTCCTCCTGGTAGTCATCCYTGGTGAAAGCACACAAGGTCCGTAAGCGCAGCAGGAGATATCAAACATTCCCAATGATTTGATTTTTAAATCCAGCATCTTATAATCCAAGAATTTTGCTATTTATCCAGATGAGTTCAAAACTTAGAAGTCCACACAAAAACTCACATGAATATTTACAGCAGCTTTGTTCAAAATTGCTAAAACTTGGAGAAAACTAAGATGCACTTCAGGAGGTAACTGGACAAACAGAAATGGATGCACCCAGACAGTGGAATAGTATTCAGCGCTAACATGAAATGAGCTATTGAGCCACACGAAGGGAGGAAATTGAAATGCACATTACTGGTGAAAGGAACCAATCTGGAAAGGCTACATACTGTGTGATCCCCACTATATGACACCCTGGAGATGCAGAAGTCTGAAATCAGTAAAAAGACCACTGGTCGCCAGAGGTAAAGTGGGGGGACGGGCAAAGGCATGCAGAAGACTTTTAGGGCAGAGAAACTATTACCAATTATCGTGGTCATCACGGGGGTCAAAATCCATAGAAGGTAAAACACAAAGAGTGACCCTGAATGTAGAGCAGAGTCCAGTTCACAATGATGTATCAACTGTAATTAATAGGGGAGACTGTGGGGAGGGTGAGGGGAGAGAACAGGAAACTCTCTGACTTTCTGTTCAGCATTTCTGTCCACCTGAAAGAGCTCTCAAATTAATCTCTTAATTAAGAACAAAACCCAAACACCGTGGCATTGTTAAAGGAGTGTGGGACGCAGGAGTGCTCCTTAATGGTGAGACGCGGCTGGGCAGGTGGTTCTGCATAAACACATAAATGCACCTCTGGATAGATCTTCCAAACAAAAGTGAAACAAAGAAACTATAGAACTCAATAATACAATCAATAACTTAAACTTAACTGACATATATCATCCTTCAATGAGCAAATAAATTTTCTTCTCATCAGCACCTGGATCCTTCTCTAAAATAGACCAGGTATTATGCCACAAAGCAACTCTTAGCAAATACAAAAGAGTAGAGATACTACCCTGCATTGTATCAGACCACAGTGGAATGAAATCAGAAATCAGTGATAAAATACAAAAAAAAAGCAACTCTAACACCTGGAGACTAAATAATATGCTATGAAATAAACAATAAATTGCAAAAGGTATCCAGGAAGAGATTAAAATATTCTTGGAGGTAAATGAGAACACTGATATAACATTGAAATCTCGAGAATGCGAACCATTCAGAGTGGCTCCCACACTCTAGGACACTATGAAGGCAGTTCTAAGAGGAAAGTTCATTGCATGGAGTTCACTCTTTCAAAGAAGAAAAAGTCAATAAATAAATGATTTAACATTACATCTCAAACCCTAGAAAAAGAAGAACAAATCAACCCCAAAACAGTCGAAGACAGGAAACAATTAAAATCAGAGCTGAAATCAATGAAATCGAAACAAAGAAAATTTGAAAAAATTGACAAAACAAAAAGTTGGTTCTTTGAAAAAATAAATTAAATTGATCAGGGTTATACATAAGGACTTATAAGAGGAAAGGAGGGGTAAGACAAGATAATACAAATCGAAGAAATGATGTACAGTAGAAGGGGTAGAGAGAGAAAAGGGGAGGGGAGGGGAGGGGAGGGGGGATAGTAGAGAATAGGACAGACAGCAGAATACATCAGACAC